GGGGGCTTGTCACCCGCTGGGGGAGGTGCCCGGCCCTGTTCCAGGGTACGTCCCTATCACCCTCCCCCCCTCTGCCCCCGTGCACATTCCTGCTGGCACTGGGGACTCTTATTTGGGTGGGGGGACCTGCATCCTCCCCGGGATTTATGCAGTTCAGTTTCATGCCTCTGGAGTGGTGGTGTCTGAAGGAGCCGCTGTTCGATGCAGCCTCCTTGCGGTATGTCAGTCTCCTCCTCAGGCTGTTGCTAGCGCCTGGTGTGCCCATAGGTGCTGGAACTGGGGGTGCTACAGCTAGCACCCCCTGGCTTGAAGTAGTTTCCATCAGATACAGGGTTTGATTTGGTTCTATGGCTCTCAGCACCCCCACTATACAAATTGTTCCGGTGCTCCTGGGTGTGCCCCAATAATAGGACCCCCACGGTGGGGCTCTGCCTGGATGGTGCTGGGGTGCGTTCTCCTTCGCAGGGTTGCCAAGGCATGTATGGTAAGGACAGCATGCCTAGGAGAGGTGAATGTGGGATGGGAATGCATTTGTTTTTCCTTAGGGAAGGAGGCTTATTGGTCAGTCTCCAGCTTTCCCTCTAAATCCCAGACTGGATGCATCCTTTCCCAGCAGAGGCTGTGGGGGTGATGGACTTGGGGGGCAAGTCCCTTTAAAATTCTGTATCTGAATGGGATATAGCTGGGATGGATTTTAGATGTACTTGACTCAAAAGGCATTTGTTCTGGGCAGGAGGGTTTTGCCAATGGCATTGGGGTTGTTATCGGAGGGGCGTTATAGGGATTACCTAGAGAGAGGCAGGAGATCAATTCATGGAGAATGAGACACCCAGGGAAGGTGAACACTGTGTGTGTGATGGGCCCTGTTCCACTCTTCGATTGGAGGTTGGGGGTAATAGACATAGTCAATCCAAACAGCCACGGTGGTGAGTGGGGAGAGGTTGAGGCTTTTGAGGTGTGACTTAAACATGTGTTTGGACTGGGGGGTAGGAGGGGCCTTGTGGAGCTGGCTGGATTACTCAGATTCCTGAATCACAGGCTGGCCTACCCGTGGGCATTGGCATGGCAAGTAATGATGATAAATGATCCGTTACCTGAATCGCAGGCTGTCAGAGGAAGGGTGAAAAGGAAGCACTAACCGGTAATGGTTATCTAAACACCAGTGTCCGTTGCTTAGTGTATTGACACTATTACTGGGGGTGGTTTTTAGACTGTAACACAATGAGCTTTCCTCCACCCTCAGTAAAGATTCCTGCAGCACAAGGGAGACTAAACTGGGAAGACTTGTCAAGGGAGCAGGTTGAAACTCTGTAGCTTCATGTGGGGTTTTTCCTCGGGGGGGGGGGGAGGGTCCAGCTAGCTTTGCATTTGGCACTGTACCCTGTGTTCAGGGTATGTCTTACAAGCTGAGTGGCTTGTCATAGCACTGTAGTTGCAAGATCCGTTCAGCAAAGCTGGGATTCACCTTACAAACATAGTGATGGTTCAGTGTGGTAAAATGCCTTTGCTTATTACATGCCCCCCCTTCCACATATGATACTAATGGACTGTGTCTGGGGAGAAGGGCAGGTGCTCATTTTGTGCTTGAGCCCCCAGCCAGCGCTGAGCAGAACTCGGTACTCGCTAGGGGGTTTTTGTACCACAACACAGAAGTTACTTCACTGTACTGCAGAGTAGCAGGGAGAGAGCGCTGATCTTCCAGCTCCCCTAGCAGTCCAAGGCCCATGGTGTCCATGGAGCACTTGTGATTCTGTCCAGCAGAGGGCAGCAGTGTGCACACACCAGCCTGCTCAGGACTATGCCTGTTAACCATGGTATCCCTCTATGGCAGGGGTGGGCAATAATTTTGACAGGGGTGCCACTCCGCGGATTTTGGTGAGTCGTCACAGGCCGCACATTTCTACTCTATTAATGGAGGGGGTGCGGGGTTTGGGTGCAGGAGGGAGCTCTGGGCTGGTGCAGAGTGTTGGGGTACAGGAGAGGGTGTGGGCTCTGGGAGGGAGTTTGGTGCAGGAGGGGATTCTGACCTGGGGTTGGGGTGCGGGAGGGGGAATGAGGTGCAGGCTCTGGCTGGCTCCCGGCTGGCGGTGCAGCAGGGCTCAGGCAGGCTGCCTGCGTGCCATGGCCCCATGCCGCTCCCGGAAGCAGCTGTGGCCGGCTGCTGCTGGCACATCTCTGCGTGCCCCTTGGGGGGAAGAGGGGCAGCGGGTCTCCATGCGCTGCCCGCACCTGCAAGCACCACTCCCGCAGCTCCCATTGGCTAGTTTCCGGTGTGAGGACGGTGCTGGGGGCCAGGACAGCGCGCGGAGCTGCCTTCCTCCCCCCCCGGGCGCGCAGAGATATGCCACAGCAGCCAGCTGCTTCCTGGAGTGATGTGGGGCCACGGCAGGCAGGCATGCAGCCTGCCTGATCACCCCGCTGCGCTGTGGGACTTCTAGCGGCCCAGACTCGGAGATCGCGAAGGGGCAGAGGAGGCCGGATAGAAATATTAGATGGGCCGGATCCGGCCTGCAGGCTGTATTTTGCCCACTCCTGCTCTATGTGTCGTCTGGGGAAATGTTCCGCTCTGCTGTCCGGCACATCTGGTGCATCTGCTTGCCTCGTGTTGCAACAGTGGCTCTCAATGGCTGAACAATGGTATTTGTCCTCTGGACTGAGCACATCTGTTCACCCTGTCTGGTGACTTTGGTGCATGAGCATCCCAACCAGGACTTTACAGGCTGGGAGGAGGTGATGGGAGATGTATGGTCTGGGTGGGAGGAACAGAACAGGGCAGACCGGTCACCCCGCATAAGCCATGTGATCTGTACCTCCTCCCCTTCCCCCCTCCCCCATTTGACACTGTCCCACCGCTGTGTGTGCCAGGAGTTGTGGGGGAGGGTTAACTAGCTCAGCAGCATAGTTCTGGAGAGCAGAATAGTAAAGCCATTGAAGGCCAGTGCATGGGAGGGAAGTGTTGCTGAATGAATGCGCCATTGTGCTGACTGCGGAAAGGTTAGATAAAATATTTGTATCCCTTGTTTCTCTCCTGTTTTAAGGTGAAAGAGCGCAGCAGTCCCTGGAGCGTGGGTGTGAGCCAGGCAGTCTCTCAATGCCAGCATCCCTGCCAGCACTAGCTAGGCTCACCAAGTAACCCTAGCTGGGAACTTCCTGTTCCTTTAGTTAAGTCATCCCTGCCACGTGTTGTAAGGTGAGAGATTCCCTTACACAGGAGGACGCAGAGGCTCACTGCTGCAGTTGGAGCTTGCTGGTGACCCAGCTGTTCTGCAGAGAGCAGGGAAAAGAGGCTACAAGGCATGAAAAGGCCAGTGCTGTCAGCTGCCAGACACCAACCAAGACTCCTCTGCACTGTCTCCCCATGAAAGCAAGGTCCCTGGGAAGAAGAAAGCAGATCTGTAGCTCCGAAGAAGAGAGTTCATTCAGGCGGTGCTTTATTTTTAAACTCTGATCCTCCCAGTTCCTTGCCTGGCTAAGTAATTAAACTGGAATGACCCAAGGAGCTGAAATCAGGGGAACTTTATTTATTCTTTTAAAAGGATAGAACCCAAATTCCACTCCCCTTGAACTTTTTTATTATAAAATCCTGCTTTATAACACCCAGGTTTGAAAGACTCTTTGACTCTGTTTTATGTTTTCCCCGCTTCCCCTTAAAAGCAACTGAGTACGAGTCCAGTTGCTGGAGCCAGGGCTGGGTGGGGGAACTCTGCGTGTTGGAAGAAGATGCACTAAGGTGTCAAGAACCAAAGAAGAGAATCCGGGAGACTGCGTGTGCTTCTACGGCTCCTTCTTCTGGGAACAGGAGAACCAGAGCCAAGCGGTTATATCTGGAATCTCCTCCTGCTTCTCTGCCGGCTTGGTGGTTGGTGTCTCCCGTTTCTG